GACTTGACTACAACAACAACGGCAGAAGCCTGGATTACAGACAGCATGTAGTCATCCCCGAGCTATTACAGTTTCAGTATGGAGAAACAGCCAACAGAAGTGGTGAAGTTATTCAGAAATCCAGGCCTAGCCTTCTTAAGAAGGGGGTTTAAACAAAGCAGTGAAATAAACAATCTGTGGAGTTCCTGCAGTGGTCTTATGGAGAAGCTGGCATCTCATTATGACCCTCACACAAACGATGACGCATCAGTTTGAGCGCAGAGGTGTAATTTCTCATTTTCGCATGAACAGAGTTCAGAGTAATACACCAGACGTTCTCAGAATGATAGAAGCAAATATAACACAAGACAATGAGACACCGTTAAAAAATGGGGGGGTAAGAAAAAAACTCCCATCCTGCCTCCTCCTCTCTCTCTTCTCTCCCCACCTTCCTCCTACTCTCTTGGTTCGTATGAAACTGAAAGACCCAGGTCTGAAAAGGGGGAATTTATAAGGGCTCACATGCCCTAATTAAAGCAGTTCCAGGAACCATGTGCATGTATGCAAGTGTGCATGTATGTGCACGGACGCCAGTGTGTTCCTCGCCCGACAGACCACTCGATATGTCACTTCCCTCTCTATCCACCGGTTCATGGACACATGGTTGTCACCAGTGCAGCAAGGCTACGGTCACATGATTCGTCATGCAAGCTTGCCCACAACAGACACAAACATGAAGAAAATTGCACACAAATGAGGATCTTAGAAAACGTTAGGGTTACAAGGCATTAAGCTACTTCGAAATTTAAACTCAGTAAATCCGTGTTGGCCAACTGGAGATGAATCCTAACAGATCAGGTTGACACAACCCCAGTCTGCTGAGGCAGAACAGCTGGATACACAGATAATGTCAAGTTTTTAAGAGATTCCAAGAAAAAAGTTCTCACAATAGGAATAATCATATCAAAAATCGCTGTAATTAAACTATTGCAGCATCAAAAATGTGAAATTGCATAACTTATTGCTTTTTAAAAAGAAAAAGCAAGGTAATATTTTTGCTACTGTGGCCAGGGATGCTATTATGCTTATTACAGTTATATTACACCTTTGCTTATTGTGATTTACATGCATGCAGTGAAATATAAAGTACAAAAATCACTCCCCAATATATGCATTTACTGTTTCTAATGGCACATTGGAAAGAATATTGGTGAATTTATGCCTTTTAAAGAGCAACAAAAGTAGAGCAAGAAGGTATTAGCAAGTTTATAAGTATTCATAAACATGCCAAATTCAGGAGCACATTTTTTTAACTACTTCTGTAAAATCTGCTGCATCTTGTGTATAACATTATATTAATCACAGACCTTACACCCTTACATATTAATTAAATATGAATGTGCATCTATAAAGTTTAGAAAAAAACGTTTGTTAAATTGTTACACGTTGGGCTTCTACAAAGTATATGAATATCATTAATGTCCTGAGCATCTTTGCCTTTGATTTGGCTAAAGGGCCACAGACTGTGTTTCCCGACATTCCTGCTAATCAGAGTTATACCCCTGTGGAATCATCTCTTGCTTGAACGCAGTGTTTCCTTTGTTACTTTGAATGTTGGCTAAGAGACATGGAACTCCAACATAACAGAAAAGCTGACTTCTAACTAAACATTTCTAATATTCTGAACATTTTTAAAAGTATAGATTAAAAATGTTTCAATAAAACATATTGTATAGGAATGGAGGTTTGTGTCCACGGCCTTAAAGACCTTCTCTGAGAAAACATAATAATAATAATAATAATAATAATAATAATAATAATAATAATAATAATAATAATAATAATAATAATAATAATAATAATGTCAATAAAACAATAAGTTCAAAGACTTTCTAACAAAAAAATCTATGTTCAAATATTTTTGAGTCTCTTTACACTGGATTCATGTATTACTTTGTATTATTGCTAAACTACAATTGATTAGGTCTCAGGGCTCAACAAAATCTATAATATGAACATTTTCACAAAAGTCCCCTGAATATATATGACCCTGTTCTTTGCCATTATTCCTGAACCATCTCAAAGGCCCGTTGGAGTTAGAGTGTGACTGCAGCCAGCAAACCACAGAGGAATTAACTTCCAGGTTGCCTATAAAATATTCAACTGCTTGACCACTTTATTCAGCTCATATTTTGTTCCAAGGACGGGGGTGGGAGGGGTGGGGGGTCTCCAAGAGGCTCCTCCGTCCTCCCGTTCACCAAAGTTTGACCACCACAAAGTGTTTGTGGTGTAAACTATGTCAGAGAAGCAAAGGATATGCAATGACATAGATGGAGTCAATATCAAGGAAGTTAGTCGAGCTCTCATCTAAGTGCTCCCCCTGAAAAATGAGCGCAAATGGATTTCAGATTATCTCAATCTGTATGCAACCAGTTAGGAACTGACTGAAAGCATGAAAAGTAGTCTGGAAGGAAATAAAGGAGAGGTTAAGGCTGTTTAACTACCTTAACAATTTTATTTTTTAATGAATTGAATTATTTATCCTGAATGATGATGAAACTTGGTGGAATAGCATTGCTATGTGATGTTACTGTAGGACCAACAATCTAAATAATTAGTAAATCTGACTGGAGACAAAGGGTTTGCACATCTACAATCATTTTCTGATTTTCACCTAACAGCAGGTCCACACAGAAGCTTCCGAATATTCACAATTGAAAAAGAAAATATTCTTATACACCACAGCAGCCATAAGTGTGGCTAATGGGCTCCTTTTGGTGCTGAAAACGATTTTGTGAGTATTGTGACCATAGCTCAAGAACGGTTCAACTCTGGCACACCAGCTCAGATGGGTCACCCTGAGAGACACTTTATAAAAAGACTGTTTAGAGTAAGATTTTTACAGACCACAAATCTTTTTAAATGCACAAAATATCTGCATTTACAAACTGTTTGCTTTTCTGTTTATAGCATGGTTGAAAATGACCAAATCCCCTCTGACTCAAAAGCAGACTTAATAAGCCTAGTTGATTAAATACAGCTGGAAACTACATTAAATGCATGAAGCAAAACCACACAGGATTTTGTAGCAAACAACAGAAAAGTAAAATAAGTCAATATATCTAATATATATTTTGGCCTCCTGCGTTTTAATGTATCCTTTGCACCTACTTGGTATGCTGAAGTGTTGTCTCTGGATGAGCTTTAGGTGGTAGTCAGCTGGGATGGGTTTCTAATAATCTAGAAGGAGTTCCCCGGGATAGTAATTACATAAATTTTGGTTGGGAGTGGCTTTTTGGGAAGTGTCAGAACTTAAAACAGTAAAAGCCCAAAGTCAAATTTTGTGGGAATAACCCGCTTCCACATGGCTTCCACGTGGGGCAGCACAATATATCATCACTGCAAGATCAGTTAATGCGACATCTGAATCATAAAGATGTGCTTTTTTTGCAATATTTGCCATATGTTCTATCCCAGATGTGATGCAGTATAATATTTTATTATATTATTATATAATCTTTATTATTTAAATTATCTTTAAATATTTTCTTTGGCCATTCTGATGGGCTTGTACCATTCCTAATCTCACATTTGATACGGATCTTGGGACCAAGATGTAAAAGGTCAGGAATTTTATGGAGTGTAGAAAATATGTATAATTTCTTTCACAAATCCTGATTGTCAAACATAGTGATACAATGATTTCCTAATGCGATGCATCCAAATATAAAACTATTGAAATCCTTAAAATCCATAATTTCCCATCTAGTTCTGCCTCTACCACCCAAAGCAAATAGTTAACTGTCAGAAAGGTAACCAGGTTTATGAGATAAAACTCAAAACTAGGTTTCTTTTATGGGGGCGGCTGTGCGTCAGACGGGAAGAGTCGGTTGTTCAGCTTTAAAATGTCCTTGCCAAAGTGTCTGCTTAACACTTTTCAAGTCGGAAACCAGCAACAAATTGCTGATGTCTAAGTCTACAAGGTAAAGTGTTCAGACAGTGTAGATATAAGTGACACAGATGCTAAAGCTCAGGTCAGGTGTTGAGGACAACGAGAAAAAAAAAAAGAAGAGAGGAGTGGAAGATATGGGCATAATCAATATCCTCATTGCCGATTAAAAAAACTGTGGGTTTGGCTGCTTGATGAGGTCAATCACAGAGTGAACTACAATTATTAATTTTAAAAAAATACTTTTTTTTCTCTGCATTCAAGCTTTTTGGCAACCTTTTTACAATCACATGGTAATATGATAAGCTACAAGTAATTGTCAGCATAAATAGGTGATTGTTGCATGAATATAAGCGCCTTCATGTATAAAATTAGGACAGGTTTTGAAAATGTTTACATTTTTCTGCGACTTAAAGATTTTTTTGTGTACATCTCTCTAGTTTTTATTTTGACAGCTTGTTCATACCGTCCCCTACACCCATGCAGCACAATTTTTGGACAGTTTATATTTCACATTCTAGATGGATGATCTAGCATTATCACCACTGACTTTGAGTATTAAAAATGTGTGTGCCATTGGAATATAAATAATAAATAATCCCAATGGTTTTCTACATCTTCAGAAGGGGAAAAAAAATACATTTATTTCAACACAATGATTGCAATTCATCCGATGACAAAACTCACACACCTCAAGTATTACCATATCAAACCATGTGAGGGCAGATTATTATTCATCTTTTGAATAGAAACCAATTTCAAAGCTTAAAATAAGGAAAGGGAAATGTCCAGAGTTGGGTATTATTCAAAAAGTCCCACCCCTGTTTTAAAGGTAGTTTGCTTGGGATTTTGCTTTTTGAATTTCTGTGTTTGGGATTTTTTTCCATTCTTATTACAATAAAACAGAATACACCCTCAATAAAACTATCAAGTCTTTTTTTTATATAAATGGTTGATGGTTGTAAAAATGAATAAAAGGTAAAATAAATGTTGGTGTAGCCCAATAAAAATACATAAATGTTATCACCTGGACAGACAGCAAAGTTTTCTGAAAACCTGCCAAGATTCTTACCTCCAGTCCATACACTCAGGAGACGATGGCTGCCTTCTGTTTGTCTCTCGCACGATTATCCCGTCCTCCTTTTTCACTTAAACACCAGCAATCATAAACCTAAAAGGAAGCAAAGAAATTCTAATGAAGTTCTTCAAATTTGAATGTTGGTTATCCTGAACTGATGGGAACTGATCGTCTTTCCTAACTAAGAGACACTTGTTTCATTTCTAGTTTTGCGAAATATGTGTAAGTCTGCAAAGATGCAAATGGCTCACATGCACACCCACACACGATCATATGATATATCACATTATTCAGGAGTATGAAGGGTGGTGGCGGTGGTGGGGGGCCTGTCAAAGAACAGAAAAAAAAAACTGATAGAAACCAACCACTTCCTGTTTAGACTTCTTTCAAAAAGAAGCCCTCCTGCAGTTGGTTGGGTCAGGAAAGCCCACACAAACATATGTCTCACAGACAGACATGATTATTACATACCCCACAGAGGTGCTGGCATGTGGGAAGTATTTGTATTTCCCTCATGTTTCCAGCTCTTTCGAAAATAAAATTGAAATGAAAGCCTGACTATGCAGATTAATCCCAGAACAGTTACTGGTATCAAGACTTACCAGAAACTGACCTAAACAACTACATAAATGAAAGAAAGTGCCCAAGGTGAGGCTTTCATTGGCACAGCAGAGCATGAAGTAAGCCATATTTTACGCCCCCCGCACCTGTTATTGCCAATTAACCAGCTCAGGTGGGATGCTACATTCGTTTCTAGCAAAAAAAGAAAAAAAATGGACAAATTTGGAACATTTCTACTTGTGAAAAACATAGAAAGTAAAGTATTTTTTGTTTGCATAAAAGAAAAACAGTTAGAAAACATAGATTTTTCAATATTCAAAAAGATTTTGTTTTTTTCCACCAAAAGACAGGTTCTTTTTTACATACAGTAAAACAAGACATAAATTCTTTAATTCAATTAGAACAGTAACAAACTTCAAAAAAAGTTATATATTAGTTATTCGATTAAATGACTATATATATATATATATATATATATATATAGTCATTTAATAGAATATAAGTGGAGGGTCTATAAAGCTAACCTGACTCCGCCAGATGCATATCCATCTGGAAACCTTCCGTAGAAGTAATTTTGGGAAGGGGCGAAAATACTGGTTAGCTAATTGGCCTATGTTGGTGATAGACGGGCCAAATAAACCAATCAGATCAACGAAGCATATGACGTACTGACAGCCAGGCTACTCTTGCCAAAACCAGTCAGGAGAAGAGCAAAAACATCTTTTCCTCTGAGAAAAGCCTCCAGAGCTTTCAGTGAAGAAATACTCAGATAAAACTTGCTTGATAGCCAGGCTAACGCTAGCTTCATCGGCTGAAGCTGCCATGTTCTTTAGACTAAACTGTCGCGCTTCTTGTTGCGTCACGCCTCAAAGCCAACGCTGATTGGACGTTGGTTTAGTGAACGGCTTCAAATTTTCTTCAACGGAGAGTCTCCAGACTGATTAGTGAAATCTTGAAAGCTCGTGAGATCAGGATGGTCTCACGAGGCTACTATAAAGCAGCCAACTGCCAACTAGAATTCTAAACTGTATAGCTGGTCTTTTTAAACCAGCTAAAATCAACTTAAGGAATCTGTGAGGGGAATAAAGTCAAATATTCTGCCTAATAACCTCTGATTAATGTCTGCTGAGCTTTATTGGTTAATTGTTTAAAATTTCTGATTAGGTCTGTTTCTTAAAACCAAAATAGCAGCAATCTTAATCATTTTAGTTCATATGTTATTATAACCAGACCTGTCCAGAGTGCATTCGCCTAATTACCGTAGAAAGCATGTGCCATCCTAATGAATGTGTTTTTAAAAAACAATTAGGCTATAAACATTAGCTGGAGATATCAGTTATATGCAACATTATTATTGCTTTACAAACACTTTGCCTATGAGGCTCATTTGTGCATTACAATCTAAACTGATTGACATTGTTTAAGGGTTAGAACATATTTAAGAGGCTAAATAGGCTGGATATATTTTTGCATGGAGATAATAGTTTTCAAGCAACCAGAAAAAGAAAAAATACAATATTGTTCTCACTGAAACATCAATCCTTTTTCTATACCCGCCTATCTAAGCAGGACTGCAGAGGGGGGCTGTTGCTGATGTCCTGCAGTTATTGGGTGGCAAACACAGTAAGTTCTTGACAGGTCACCAGTTTATCACTGGGCAACAAAACAAGCCATCATGTATTAAAAAAACTCATGCTGCATTGAAAAATACATAAACAAACTTTGCTTTTAATTAAACTAAAGAAGTTTGCATTAAACTTCATACTGGTGGTCGATGCATTTTCTAAATAGCAAAAAAAAAAAAAAAAAGAGTTTCTGATCTCCTGATTAAAGATCAAATGATTGATTTTAAAACTGTTTTAATTTGCTGCAGGCAGATTAAAACATGTATCTCTAATTTCTACTCCAGGTTAACATATCGTGACAGTCTCATACTGGCCTCTGTCTAATGCAGATCAAGTGTAAATAAATGCGTGATGCAAGCAGGCCTGCAGACAGCTAAGCATGACGGAGTCAGGTCAGGACACCAGAGGTGAGGGATGAAACACAACCGTCTAATTGTGTTGCACATAAATAGTTGCTAGGTTAACAAAGCTGGTATTAAGAGCTTGTTGCAAAATCATGAGCGTATGTCAGTTTGGAAAGGTCCCGCCGGTCTGGAAAGGTGCCGTCAAATTAAAATGGGATAGATTTTTTTCTTCTCTTTCCAAATTTCATTTTTACTCACGAGTGGAAGCGATAATTTACCAGTACGAAGACCTAAAGACTTAAACAACTTGCTGCGGCCAAGATAAAGAAGCCAAACCCAAACGAGTTGAGCTAGTCAGGCCGGTCTGTCAGAGGGGCGAGTCAGCAACTCATCTACCTCTATAATGAGTACACACAGACACACACAAACACACAAGCCCACTGGCTTGACAGTCTTCTCCCCACCCAGTGTGGCAGGCAGAAGCCTTAACCTAACATTACAGCCTGAGCATGTATCCTGCTGTAATGCAGGATTGGGTCAGGATTAAAATAAAACACTGGGTGCGCCGTGGGGATGATGATGATGATGATAATGATGATGATGATGATTAACAGACCACTGTAGGGAGATCTTTTATTAGCACAGAAGGCTAAATCCAGTAGAACTATGGCAAGCCATTATTGCCAAATATTAGCACTTTTCCCACCTATCAGCAAAGGAGGGAATGTTAAGAGTGATAATTAAACAATGCTGAAATATTTCCTTTGTATATTCATAAATGCAAGCCCAATGAATAGGTTCTGAAGTTTATTGTACTATCTCTGGCTGCAGGAAAGATTCTCAGTCCAACACAATGCCGTTCATTCATTACAACCATAACCTTAAACAAAAACTAAGCAGTAAAGTACCGGAAGGCACATAGATAGATTTACAAATGCACAACCTACAAGTAAGGTCATGCACAACTCAAAGGGTTTCAAAATGTGGGTGCCCCATATTCTGTGAGATCATTTACCACAATTTTTTGACCCCCACTCATAAACAAGCTGAGCTAAGCTGCTCTGTGTGAAAAAAAAAGGAAAAAAAAGCAAACTTTATTAACCAGGTAAAATAACCCTGAGCCATACAAAAACAAGTCTCAGTGAAAATTTTGAAATCATCCATTTCATAGCAACCATAAAGCAGACTTCAATTGAGACAACCAGGCTTCTTACATCCAGTTTTTATCTGCACTGCCAGAGCCGGCAAAGATCCTGGAATAGATGCTGAAACCTTTTCAGAAAAAACAACCAAAAGTCCAGTAGCCTCCATCTCAGTAGTCTTGTGACATTAACAGGTGTCACTAAACACCAGTAAGATGTAAAAGAAAGAGAAATATATAGTTTTTTAGTAAGTAAGTAGTACTAGTAATACGTTTTACCACAACTATTATGGCTCCCTGACTCTACTGGTGGGATTTCATTAAATTTCATAACATCACCAATGATTAAATGTCTTTTTAGCTCATCATCAAATGCCACATTTCTGCCACTAAGAAACAAAAAGGTGAAGTTGTCACCAGTCAATGACTAGTGAAATATAAAGGGTATTTTGCTACTAAGTAGAATGTTCAGTGTTCAAATGTTTTTCAACAGTAGTATACAAAATACAGTATTCTGGACATTTAATCTTATATTTTATTTATGCATCATCTTTTTCCAAGATCGAATGAAAAAAGCATCCATTTTTGGCACTAATGTCTTGCCATACTTTTCTAGTGACTGCGCGCGCGTCCAGGTGGATGTGCGTGAGAGCAGGTTAGGTTTTGGATGTCAGCCGGTGTTCTCGGCTATAATTAGCAGCCCGGTGTTCAGAAATGTACCCGCCGACCCCGCTCCTCTCCTGTCTCACCTGAACGCACATCTCCTATAGAAGCCGCATCCGCCAACTTTTATTTTCTACACTTTCATATCTAGAGAGAGAATATCAGAGAGGTGGAAAGTCTCTCATGTCACCGTGCTGAAGCAGAAACGGCCAGGAAGCTTTATTCTTGCCGCGGTTAAAGCACAAAATAACTCATATTTATGTAAAGTGTGTTATTTTTATGAGTCGTTTGAAGGGGAATTGGAAGAAGCGGTTACCTGAGTACCAGAGTGTCACCTGTCCCAACTCGTCGCCTCCCACCTGGCGAACACTTCCTGGATTATTCCGTCCCACCCTGACGACTTCTTATACAGCTTTAAATTCCCCCTTTTTTTAAATCCTCCCAGCGTTTGTCCTCTGAAATACACGCTCCGTCCTCTACTCAGTGTTAGTTAGGGGGGTTTATTCCTCACCAAGTGTCCTTTCTCCTGTCCCCTATCCTGCTGTCTCTGCGGACCGCCGGGGCTCCTCTGACCCCCTCCACTCAGCGCTCTGCCTCCGCTCGCCCACTCCGACTCCCAGCTCCTCCTTTCTGAGAACCAGGAAGCGGCTTGTCCTAGTTATTACAGCCAGTCGCCGGATTGGCTCTGGCAGGGCTACAGAGGAGACCGCCGGGGTGGGCAGGGCACACAGGGAGGGTCCGGCCGATGTCCGATAGGCCCGCAGCGGTGCCAGTCGGAGACAAGTGGGCTCCTCCTCCACCTCCTCCACTTGGCATCTCTGCGCAGAGGTGGGCAGCGAAAGCGGATTGAGGGATATCTGCCAACAGCTTACCTGTCAGATGCAAAGCGTTTTCAGTCCAAATAGAATAAACTTATGATTCAGCAATATTCCCCAGACCGGAAGAGACCTGGAGGTGACTATGGATGGAGAAGCAGAGCTCCAAAGCCAAAGCGCCTGGCAGATGAGTGCAGTAAAAAGGAAACCATAGTGTGATAAATGAAACTCACTCAGAGGATGTATCATATCCAGTGTGGAGGCTCAAAGGGCAACAGAAGGGACTTTTTAGAATGACTTTTTTTTGTGAATCACTCAAAAAAAAAAAAAAAAAAAGAAATGAAGAAACTCTGAGGTATTATTATTAATCAAACTAGCACAGAAATGAAACTCACTCAGAGGATGTATCATATCCAGTGTGGAGGCTCAAAGGGCAACAGAAGGGACTTTTTAGAATGACTTTTTTTTGTGAATCACNAAATGAAGAAACTGCTGAGGTATTATTATTAATCAAACTAGCACAGAATGGAAACTTCTGTTCAGCATCTAGCAAGAGAAGACCATCACAAAACAAAGAAATACACAAAATGTACCTATGGGGAAAAAAAAATAATAATTATTTTGTCTTGCAGGCATGGGTGTTTCTAGACAGGGGCCAACGGGGTCCAGGGCCCATGTAGATCATGTCCTGTACTGATCGTCCCCTGTACTGAAGACATAGAAGACATAGTACTCAAAGAAGTTTTAATGATGATATATGCTGGAAAAGGAATGGTTACTGATTGATCCTTTGGATATATTTCATTTTTTTCTTTACAAATTCTGTTTTATTAACTATTTAAAATCAATAAGGTGATAGCTTCAGTGGTATTGAGATAGGAACCCAGTTTTCATCTACTAAATGTTTTTGTTTCCCCGTCCAAAACAAAATAAAAAAAATACTTTAATTTTTTACGGTTGAATTTAACAGTTTTTCTTAAATTCTAATTCAGATTTTATAGAAAACTGTAATTTCAACCTAAATTAAATAAAAAATATGTAAAATTCCTTAATTCTGAATGTACATTGACATAATAAGACATTTAGAATTTTAATGAAACCTAATTGAATAGAAATTTCACTTCATGCAGCGATCTTAATTGATTTGATTTGCCCTGTTTTTTATTTCATGCTTTTCTGTGCCCCATGAAAACACGCTGGCCCCCACTGGTACATTTGGTCTAGAACCGCCAATGCTTGCAGGCTAGGTGTCTACGAGTTTTTTTTTTTAGCTAAGAAGAATTAAAAAATGAAAAAGTAATAAAAAAAATATAAATAAAACCAATTTATAGCATCTATCTATCAATCTATCTATCTATCTATCTTTATAGCTGCACTGCCATGTTTCACTGTTTGGATGGTGTTTTAAGCGTGTTGTGTGTGCTGGATTGACTAAGTTGGATTTTGGTCTGATTTAACCAAAGCCCCTTCTAGTTTACTTTGTACCTACATTGTTTATAGAAGTCTAAAAACTCAACTTCAGAATCAACTAAAGATGAGATCTGTGGAGTGTACATCACAGCTAGTGGTGGTAATGTGGACAGATTCTCTTGGTTGTGTTACCGTAATGCACTAATATTCCTCTAACAAACATCTGGAGCATTTACCGGGCAGCTGTATTTAAAATGATATTAAATCCCACTCTCTAATTAGATGGGGTATGGAAGTGGTTGGTTGCTTTTTTTTGTTGTATTTGAGTAAAAGGAGGTAGATAGAATTGGAAACATCTCTCTGATTTGTATTTATTTAGGTGGTTGATATCCATTTCAAATACACATTTTTTGAAAGAAAAACTATATTTGAATCATTTCTGGTTATATGGACTTGCCTAAGACTTTTTGTGTAACTTTAGGTCAGCTTCCTCTGCAGAACGGCAACACCTGATGCAATAACTGATGTGTATAAATAGTTGTAGATCGGATCATTTCTGCATCGACTTCTAGTGAATCAGTCTAACTAAGAGGTAAATGTGCCATATAAAGGAGAAAACATGATAGAGCTAGCTATAAAACATGAGCAGTATAAGTTTATTGATGCTTCCCAATTGTGTCAAAAATTGGTTTTGCATGGTTGCAGAGCAGTTAGAAATTCCCTCCTTGTAGGGAGCAGGTCCTGGGTTCCAATCTCTGGGTTTTTCTACATGGAAACAGGGAGTCAGCAGTTTCTCCCTGTCAGAGAGTTGCCAAAAAGTAGTCCCTTCAAAATAATGCCTCAGATATAAATGTAAGTAGCTCACCCTCTGTTCCCTAAGCATTGCTTCTTTTTGCTCGCTCCAATACAGTTCCAACGTTTTCTATTTACCCTGTTGTAGAGTGGCAACCTGTCCAACCTGTACCCAGCCTCTCCGCTATACGTCCCAGCCCCTTTGAAACCCTGCAAGAATCAACAGGTTCTGTATTGGCTCAAAGATTTGTGTCTTGTTTTGTTTTTCTAAATATTTTCCTCATAAAATTTGAAAAAAGTCTGCTTTCAAGAATATTTTTCCTGGTGCTTTTGATGTTTTTTTTGGTCTTTTATATAATAGTTGACCTAAATAACGACCGCGTAGCGTCACCCTGCCATCCCTCACCACCCCTCACCCCCCCAGACTGAGCTCTGTGGTCTTTATGTGTGACATAACAGCAGCTTCTTTCCCCTGCTACTAGAACTTTGAAGACTTTGTGCTTATGCTTTGTTTTTGAAGTGGTTATGGGGATGGGAATCACCTTGCTTTCTCAAAGCTTGAATCTCATCCTTATCTGCTGTAATGTAGCTCCTGCAGTGTGTGTCTGTCTTTGTGTGAGCTGGTGGGTTTTGTATAGAGGGTGCAGGAAGTCTATATATAATTTTGTGGTCAACTCAGACAGCCCACCTGTATTACCACCCCCCCAAAACCTTAAATCTGTGCTTGCTCTGCGGTCGTGCAACCAGAAAGAAAAGTTTCACGCTACTTGTGAACAATATGCGTCATCAGTCTACCTTATTTCCAGTGTTTTTGTCAGTTTACCTTTGTTTTTCCAGTGTTTAAGGTAGGAAAACAAAAGTTCACAACAGAAAAAAGGTCTTTAAAAATAATTTCAAAATGCATTATCTTTTTTTTAACTTCATTCTATTGCCATTTAGATTTTTTCGTGTACAACAAGGAAATATTTCTGTTGTGATAATGTCTGTAGAATATTTATCTACAGATTTTACATTCAAACTAGGAAATATGAAGCCATGATGTAATTAAACAAATAGATTTCAACAATTTACTTAAGCAATAATATCAGTATTTGTCTCCAAATTTATGCTGTAAATAACAGAATATTTGTTATACTTTTAGACTATATATATCTATACGTCTTAATGCAAAGAACAATAAAATAAACCAAATTAAACCTAGATATCTTATGACCGTTGTAAATATTCTTTAATTTAGTTTTTCAAAGCAATAAATACAAATGAAAGCCAATAAAGACTCCAAACACACAGCAAAGATATAATCATTTACTTCTCAACTTTAATTTAATTAAAACCAGTGCGCCGATTAACAGAGCCGCAAGCAGTTAAAAGGTTAATGGTTTTCAATTCAGCAATTTAGTAACATAATCAAACAATTCAACCAAATACACTCTATCTAAATGAAGCCTTTAGTTTAACTTACAGCACCCAACTTCATTTTACCAACAGTGGCTCTGAAATTTGATTTTGCATTTCGAAATAGACACACAAAAATTTCTTAGTTTTCTTGTCAATGTAAATGTTTAACGTTTAAGTCTTACTGCTTTTTATTGTACATTTAACACCTAATTTACTGCGCAATAGAGGCTGTTTTTACCTCCTATTAAGCCTCTCAGATGAATCAGTCTGGAGGAGTTACCCTCAGTCTGTGGTTAAACTTGCAGCAGCACATGCAACCTGTTTTAATGCAACCTGTTTTAAAGCAAAGCAGGAAGGATTCCGCCATCTGTGGATACACTGCTATTGCTCGTTCTCTTTTCTTCTCTATATATGTATGAATATATTTATACATATTGCTACTACACTGCAGTATTCCAAGGAATAAAAACATTTATCACACTGTCTTCTCCCTGGTGGTCTAGTTCTGTTTCCAGAGGGTAGAGACTTCCTTCTGGGCCTATTTTAGAGTCAAAGAGACAGGCAGCAATTACAAGCCCAGTTTTTCTCCCCACCACCTCCTTTCATGGCTGGAAATTCAGGCTGTTCCTGCCATCATTAACCTCCACTCACTGCAGTTCACAGTGACCTCTGATTTACGTTTCACAAACTAGAGTTTTTCTGAAAATTTTCTTTTCTCTCTGTAAAGTTGCTTTGAAGACGTAAAACCCCATCTATAACTCAAATCTCTCCTTCCTGCTCCATGTGCATGATTTTTAAAGCATTTCCACCCTCTAGTGGTCACTCTGCAGCCTAGAATTCAGATTTCCTGAAGGTGTCTTTACATGCGGCTTCTATAGTACCTACAATGAGTCACTGTGTCCTGCTACCTATGGTTATAGCATCAACATCCCTTCACACCCTCCTAAATGAAATGTTGCTTTACAAAATACTAGTTAACTGATGACATTGCTTAAACATTTAAAGGTGAAATATCATGATCTGCAAAGGTTTGATCATTATAGACTCATTACAGACTTAATTTTTTATCTATTTCAAATTACATTATGGTTTTGATTGATTAAAGTGAATACTTTGATTATTTGAATCGTGTATTAAGAGGAAAGGATGGTGCCCATAACATTTTGTGGCAGCACTGATGGCTGCAATCAATCATTAAGCAGCTTTATGTGTTCTATATTCAGTTTTTTTTCCAGATTTTGGGAGGAAAATAGAGGTGTATTTTAGAGGTTTTCTTTCTTTCTTTCTTTCTTTCTTTCTTTCTTTCTTTCTTTCTTTC